CCCCAAAACCCCAAAACCCCAAAACCCCAAAACCCCTCAAACACAAAAACAATTATATAATTTTACAGTTAAATTAAATCTTCATGGAGGCTTTGAATTTGGTCAAGTGTAATGAAGATCACATGATTACCATGAATAATCAGTCACACGATGGTATTAGTTCCAGCAGCGAAGATGGTAATTATATTGGGGGGTTTTTATAAAGACAGCTTTTCAGTTTTTCCCCAGAAAATCCAATTGAAAAAGGGCTATTAGGATTGATGGGATAGTAGTAGAACAGTACTAGGCGTGTCATAGAGTTAAGATAGGGGTCGAGAAAGGATGGAAAATGGCTGATTTTTGTTCCAGAAATCAGGCTCAAATGATTTATATGAAATTTTTTATTTGAATGAATTTGTAATGGTATAGATTTTGAAGAGGTAAATAAGACATCAGATCAAAATAAAGAAGAAAGTAAAGAGGAAAGTAAAAATAATCGAAATTCTTCAGCATTAATATTGTACCCAGGCCAGAAAAAGAAGAAAAGAATTCCTCCTCCTAATCCTCTACTTCCAAAGTCTTACTTTATCGAAGACGAAGGTGCTATGACTGGAAGTCTAGGTAAAATATTCATGCTCAGACGATTCAAAGGAACTGATAAATAAAAATGATCTTATGAACCAAGATTTTGAAATTGCTGGAATTGACAATACATACCCTGGTCATATTAATCTCTGAAACATCTTCGCACCTTGAGACGAATCAGGCGAAATGAAAGAAGAGATCGTATATTATCGAGAAATAAGTGGAGATAGTGGCAAAGCTCTCACTATTGCTGAAGTCAATAAGAAAGGAAATTCATTTAATACCAATAAACTAGATGTAAAACGTTTGCTTTCCCAAGTCAAACTTTTGAGGTAAGAAGAAAATTGAACATTTTGAATTTAATTTTAGAAATTAGTATGGAAGGAGAGGGTTAAGGGTTGTGATAGATTTTGGAGTAGTTATTTTTGAGATTTTAGGGATCTTCAATAGGTTTGGGGTGGCGAAGACTAATGTGTTTTTTAGTAAGAAACGAACTGAGGATTCTTCTGCGGTGGTAACAAGCGGCCTTTCTCCGTTTTATAAAATTAAAGATGATGATGATAAAACTCTTGTTTTCGAGTCTAGATTTGAGTCTGGAAATTTGCACTCAGTAATGAAAGTTGATGACAACGAGTATCATCTTTGACTACAAAATGATGTAAACACAGTCGGTCATACACAGTGGTTCTTCTTCAGAGTTCAAAATACAACTAAAGATCTTGAAGTAAAATTTAATATGCTGAACTTAGCAAAACCAGATTCTTTGTTTAATCACGGTATGAAACCTCTATTGTACTCTGAGCATAAAGTTGATAAAGAAGGTATTGGCTGGTTCAGAGGAGGTCACAGCATATGATATTATCGTAATGGAATAAAGAAAGACAAAGGCTCGTATTACACACTCACTTTCAAGTACACATTTGAGCAAGATAATGATACAGTATATTTTGCATACTGATACCCCTACACATACTCAGATTTGAAGGCAGACCTTATTGCAATTGAACGGAACCCTAGGACAAAGAACTTTTGAGTGATTAGATCGTTATGACGTTCGCTTGCTGGGAATAGCTGAGATTATCTTACCATCACAAATAAGACGAAATCAACAACTGATAAACCCAAGAAAGCTATCGTAATCACTGCAAGAGTCCATCCTGGTGAGACTGTAGGCTCCTGGATGATGAAAGGCGTAATAGATTTTCTTACCGATCCGGATAACGAAGAAGCTCAACTCCTTCGAGATAATTTTGTATTTAAAATCATTCCAATGCTCAACCCAGATGGAGTTATAAACGGGAACTACAGGTGTTCTCTATCAGGCAATGACCTGAACCGGAGGTGGAAAGTCCCTTCTAAAGTTCTTCATCCTATAATTTAGTTCAACGCTAAAAATGATCAAAGAAGTCCACAAAGAACGAGAAGTGTTATTATTCTGAGATCTGCATGGCCATTCCAGGAGAAAAGATATCTTCATGTATGGCTGCAATGTCAAGAATAAGCCAGAAGAGACTAGAATATTTCCATACATATTAGGCAAAATATGACCGTATTTCTATTTCAAATATTCAAAATTTGGTAATCAAAAGTCAAAGGAGTCAACGGCTCGGCTTGTACTGTTTAGAAACTTGAAGATTCCAAACATTTTCACTCTGGAGTCATCATTCTGTGGCAACGAACATGGTCCTTACAAGTAAGTTGCTCCACAATTGAGCTGTTAACAAATTACAGAGGCAAGCATTTCACAAGAGAAGATCTCCAACAAGTTGGGAAGGACCTATGTAAAGCAATTCTGGCTTATACAGGACTAAAAGTTCCAGAAGGTCTGGAACTTCCTTTCGAAAATTCAAAGAAATCTGATTCGACCAGTATTAAGAAGTTTATCCACAACTCCATTCTGAACCAATTCAAAGAGCACCAAGATCTCATTGAAGATGGGAATGGAGACTCCTCATGAGGCTCAGATAGTGAGCCTAGTGAAGGTAAAGTTTCCCCTTGATTTGTATTTAGATAACATGGACATCGAAGAGATTTGCCAACTAGTGCCACCAGTTGATAAATAAGCTGAGAAATGCTCTCAAGAAACTCAATAAGGAGAAATCTGATTTGAAATCTCAGTCATCACAGAAAGTTCTCCGGGATAAGGATAAAGGAGGTTCTCTTATCAAGCAAAAACAAATAAAAATCCGGAACAAAACTGCTTCGAAGAAGCCTGAAACTGCAAAGCCTAAGATGGTTGATGCCTGGACTCAGACTGAGCGTAGCGATTTCGCAATCATCAAATATAAAATGCAGAAGAAGTTGCAAGCCAAATCTTTGGAGAAGAACAAGCTAAATGCTGTACTAGGCAAGAATAAGGGAGGGTCACAGTCAGTAGTGAGAGCATCAGGACTGGGGTCTCATAACTCGCTTGTCAACAAAATGTCTACTTCTTTGAAAGGAGCCAATTCCTCTGCAGCCAAGACTAAGACACATGAACCTTTAATGGATTCAGGGATTAAGAATTATAGCCAAATGCCTATTAAAATGGGATTTTCAAATAGTTCCCAAAGACATGGGTCTGAATCTGCTAAGTCTCAACTGACTCCAGGGTTCTCAAGGAACCCGATCAAGGGAAAATCCAAGAGGACAGTAATGCATATGAATAAAAAGAGGAAGGCTAATAAAATGAGGCTTCCCTCCTTGAAAGATAAACATCGCAAATAAGTTTTGGTAATCTGAAGAATCTTCGAATTTTATTTTCAATAGGATTGACCATTTTCGGGGTTTTGGGGTTTTGGGGTTTTGGGGTTTTGGGGTTTTGGGGTTTTGGG